TAAGAATACTAATTTTCTAGAGGTATCTTTTTATAATGGATCTAATGTAGTTTCATGGCCGGACACTATCAGAAACAACCTACTATGGGAGAGAACAAACCGGATCCCAGCGGAGGAAGAAATTAGGAAGAAGCTCTAGAAGTGGATAGGACACACATTGAGGAAAGCATCCAACTGTGTCACAAGACAATCCCTCACATCTAATCCTTGGGGCCAAAGGAAAAGAGGAAGACCAAAGAACACATTATGCCGGGAAATGCAGATAGACATGAGAAAAATGAACAAGAATTGGATGGAATTAGAAAAGAAGGCCCAGGACAGGGTGGGTTGGAGAATGCTGGTCTGCGGCCTATGCTCCATTGGGAGTAACAGGCGTAAGTAAGTAAGTAAGTAATGTAGTTTTATAGTGTTACATTCATTTCGGCACTACGAATTCCGTTACGGTAATCTTTAGACAGTCTATAAACAGCCCTATTAATCATCTTCTTCTATATCAATTATAAACACTGGAAGATAAGTTGATTAACCACAAGTATTCTTCACTACTTAGACTTATAAAATACAAAACTTCGGTGAACCACAATTTAGAAATCTATATAGCTTACTGTAATAATCATTTAAATTGAGTATGATTTCTGAAGAGTAAAATATATAAAAACAGGACAAAACGGCCCTCCAGTGCTTCCAGGTTTTCCATGGTGGTCTAGCTTCAATTGATTCATGACCTCAAAATCATTGAAATTACCATAATATCTACAAAACCCTTCTGATATGAACAGTGAATGAGTCGAATGATTAAGACTATGTAAATGAATATCTCCTACCCCCCCCCACCAACCACATAGTATCTAAATGATATTCTGTCATTTGTATGAGATTATGTAAAGGACCTTAAATGTTTCTTTTTCATGGCAATTAAAAGGGAATTGATCATTTATTGTTGATATGCTAACTTCTTGAACAGAAGTACCGGGGATTCTTAGTATTTACCACTGGATTATAGCAAACATTACGGGTAACTTCTATGAACTGTAAATGGACTAATATTGCATGACTATTCAGTAACTAGATTACGTATATCTATGTTCCTCTTATTATAAGCTTTATTTTAACATATAGACTATTGTAATACAATTTACTATTCTTAAGTTATGTTCAGTTTATTAACTACCGTCTCCCACGTTCACAGCCACCTTTTGGCTTGATCTTGTACAAATGTTGTGTTCCTATTTTATGGTGTGATGCGGTCTATTTGGCTGGTATATAAACCCAATATGTTTGGAATAAATGATTCGTATAATAGAAGCTTGTATTGGTGTTCTGGACTCAACTGGCAGGGCTAGGAGGAAGAAGGACTAATAAGAACACTAGGCTGCTCATACTGCTTGAACGTCATTGGTTTGATATAGTGCTATGATTGTGTAAATCGTATTCCGACTGACGAATAAGTTGAGCTTAAAGTCACAAAAATAGTGATTTCCAGTATAGACGTTTTATCCAATTGACTATTCATCGAAAGTGACATAGTATCTTGGTTTTTCAGTGTTCTGATTACGTCTCAATGAGGACACATATGTAAATTTCCTTCGATTGAATATTCGAACATTAGGACTAATTCTCCCTTAATGGATTTCATTAAATGCTACTAACTAAAGAATATAATTACCTACAATTGATTGATCACTGAATGGTGATCACTGTCATATATATCAGATCCTTCTCAATGTAGATCAAATCCTATCGATCAAGCTGTAGTATAGTGACTCAACATTGCGTTCACTATGTTCTTGGTTTGAAGCGGTTACGAGTTCACTTGGACTGAGAACGGAACAAAGACTTGTGACAAAAGACCAATAAACTAGCTATTCTATTGCGTCCCAGCCTTGTTAACTAGAGAGAGAAATCGAAGTCCGAATGGGGAAGTATATTCCGCAAAAAGCCAAAAGCAAGAGCGATAACAACAGACACAAATCCAAACGTATATATACAGCACAAAACTTTCCTTGGGAAAAGTTACAAAATAGCATACTAAAAGACACAACGAATCAATGGCGTTTAAGATACTACGAAGTAGGAAATACGACATGAAAGTGTAAATGAGCGCTTTTCGCGCGAAAACGAAGAAATTCAAATTTTCTAAATAAAATTACGAAATTCGGACCTTTTCCAAGTGAGTTTTGGGGATCTAACGTCACCAAGACTATGTTAAAATAAGATGACGATTGAAGGTAGTGAACAAGAAACTCTGAATCCACGTTACATACTACTTGGCACATGTCAACAAGCTGTACCTATAATCTTAAGGGAACCTAGATTCAGAGTTTCCTATTGACTACTTCCAGTCACCATCTTGATAATGTTATGCCATGACATATGCCTATTACTCCTCGTGAAGGAGCATAGGCCACTCACCAGCATTCTCCATTCAACCCTGTCCTGGGCAATCCTTTCCAACTCTTTCCAGTTGTAATTCATTCTTTTCATATCTGATTCTATTTCCCGACGTATTGTGTTCTATGACCTTCCTCTTTTCCGCTTCCATTCAGCATTCCAGGTCAGGGCTTGCCTCGTGATGCAGTTTGATGATTTGCATAATGTATGTCCTATCCACTTCCAGTGCTTTTTCCTAACTCCATCCTCAGATGGAACCTGGTTTGTCCTCTCTCACTGTACGCTGTTGATTATGGCATACGGTCAACGGATATTGAGTATCTTGAGTAGACAATTGTTGATAAGTACTTATACACGTTCGATGATTGTCGTGGTAGTTCTCCATGTTTCAGCTCCGTATAGTAGAACTGTCTTGACGTTTGTATTGAAGATTCTCACTTTGATATTGGTTGATAGATAGTTGTTTTGAGTTCCACATGTTCTTCAATTGTAGGAATGCGGCCAGTGCTTTGCCAATCCTCGCTTTTACGTCTGCATCTGATCCTCCTTTTTTATCGATAATTCTTCCTAGGTATGTGAACGATTCCACATCTCCCATAGTTTCGTCATCAAATATGATTAGGTTGGTGTTCTGCATGTTGTATTTGAGTACTTTGATTTTCCCGTTGTGTATGTTGAGGCCTGATGATGCAGGGACTGCTGTTACACTGGCTGTCTTTATCTGTATTTATTCGTGTGTATGCGATATGAGGGCTAGGTCATCTACAAAGTCCAAATTGTCTACTTGGTTCTGAGCTGTCCATTATATGCCGTGTTTTCCCTTAAATGTCGAAGTCTTCATAATCCAGTCGACCACCAGAAAAAGGAGGAAGGGAGAAAGTAGACAGCCTTGTGCGACTTCAGTCCTTATTTAGAATGCATCTGTCAGTTGTCTTCTATGCAAGACTTTGCACTGTAGTCCGTTGTATGAATTCCGGATAATATTGACAATCTTCTCAGGAACTCCATAGTATTGAAGAAGTTTTCATAATGTTCTCCTATCCATATTGTTAAACGCCTTTTCATAATCAATGAAGTTGATGTTCACTGACGAATTCCACTCAATTGATTGTTCGATGATGATCCCTAGTGTCGTAATTTGGTCTGTGCACGACCTCAATCACCATTTTATTATAATGGATGCGCACTGCTGAGGAGTCCCACAATAGGACGAAACGGCCGTCCAGTGCTTCCAGGTTTTCAATTGTGATACTCTAACATCAATCGGTTCATGATCTCAATCAAAAACTTTATAATCTCCACAACCCCTATACTAGTAATTAACATGTGCTCACTAGTGACTAGCTTCGTGAGGGAATTCTCGGAGTTCTAGTGAGAAGCCGTGACCAGTGGAGCTAATCCATGTCGGGTAGAGACAGGTATATTCTACCTCAGTACAATGGAAGATGGTCGCGCAATTTCGTGGATTGGTTGATGTTAGACATTAACATCATTGGTCGCCGGCTCAGTGGTCTAGTAGGTTAAGCGTTCGCGCGCAAGACTGAATGTCCTGGGTTGGAATCCTGCGAGCGAAATCGTGGATGCGCACTGCTGAGGAGTCCCATAATAGGACGAAACGGCCGTCCAGTGCTTCCAGGTTTTCAATTGTGATACTCTAACATCAATCGGTTCATGATCTCAATCAAAAACTTTATAATCGAATTATCTATAATTATTTAATAATGATTGACTATACCATCTTCTCTTTTCATGTAATTTTTATAATCAAGTTAAAAAAAGAAGATTCTTATCTATAATGAAATGTGTTTATATGAAATCATTCATCAAATCTAACCTTAAATAACCTGATTAAAACAATATGAATCTTTTTTTTCAAATGATTGGAAACAGTTACATCATCATTGTGAAAGGGAACATAATCATCATAAATGCACAATATACTTCAGTTATTATATCTCTATCGCTCTATGTATGTAGAGGTATACACCTTAATGAAATAAGTAATATAATAAGTTAAATAAATAAGTAGTCTATCATGATTTGTAAAAAAGAAAATTAAAGTTATTACATAATCATTCAATAGATTGATGGATATAATTCAATCATGAAAATGATTCAATAATCTTCAATGAATATGGATAGAAATAGAGAAGTTAAATGTGTTTACTTGTTTCATTGAATTACATGAATGGATTACTTCAATTAATAATAATAATAAGAAGAAGAGCTTTAGGAAGTTCTATGTATAACAGTCTTTATAAATCATATAAGTTTATCATTGTATTCATCATAAGATTTATAGACAAAATCTACCAATTGTAAGATCTACGCTATCAAATACTTCAAATGGCAATTTTTGAGTTAATATGATTATACTACTTATAAGTAGATCAAATTACTAAACAAAAATATTGAATATAAAGATAAATATATATTCAGTTTCATCATAGAGATTAGTTATCTAATAAACTATTGAATACAATGAAGATAATATCAGATATTATTTATTTGAATAAAGAATATATAATATCTAATTCGTTCAAATATAAGTGTATAGATGAAGTACAATATTATCACTGTGAATATAGTTACTTTTTTTTATATACTACTTATTTTGATGGTTCTTTACATTGATAACAATCAGCCATTTCTTTAACATATAATTCTAATTGTATTGTAACATCATGTGCTAAATAACGTTGTTTTAATAGATGATTTGCTTGTTTTAATATTTCTTGTGCATTTGAATCATTTTCTAATATGAAACAAACAAAAATAGACAAACGAACAATTTGGATCAGAAGGAGTTTTTGTGAAGATTGTAGCAATTTCAACAGTTGAGATCATGAGTCCATTGAAGCTAGACCACCATAGAGAATCTGGGAGCACTGGACGGCCGTTTCGTCATGTTGTGGGACTCCTCAATGGCAGTGCGCATCCACAACCCCGCCTCGTGGGATTCGAACCCAGGACATTAAAAATGATATTGACATGCCGGAGTGGGAGGGAAAGGGGAGGATAACACAGAAAACCATAGGGCATTGGATAAGTTTGAACGCCGTATGTTCCTTCAAGATCGTGGAGTCCATGTGCAACATTGGTTTGATGTAACACAGAAAACCATAGGACATTGGATAGTTTATTAATCTTGGTATGAAAGTTGAAACTTCTGTGTTTTAAATCCGTAACAGAAATATGGATGTGTACTGTGGACGAGTCACATACTAAGACAAAATGGCTACTCAGTGATTCCGAGTTTTTCAATGGTTATTTTATTTATTTATTTGAGCACATAAATATTGGTACAAATAGGCATCGAATACATATTCACCATACAAATCATTCAATTAGTGTGTGAGCTGTGATACTGCCCGGATACTCAAACCGAACCAAGTGGTTTTCGTATGGGGCCACACCCGAAGCCTTCGACCTAAAGGTCTGATCCACAAGACAGTAGAGTATGGTTAGGAGATGCAGTCCCATGGTAGCCGCTGACCAACAATAGGCTTGTACACCATTTGTTCCTTCAGGATCTTGGAGCTCATGTGCACCATTGGTTTGGATTGAGGGTTTTCTAACTCTACTAGATGAACCCCCCATATCCACCGATACGCTTAAAGCGCCAAACAATCGCTTTTATTACATACATCAGTGGACCCACCACTGGAGACCTTACCTAGGAATCTTAGGTTCATGAAAAAGCACTTAACAGAAAAGTTGGCAGTGAGTGGTTTAGATTTCTAGCTCTATTCAACTTTTGGATTTTTGTGGCAATCATTCAATGTCATTACCAAGTAACTATCTCACTGTCATTATGGGTGAAATTCACTGATCATGACCTCGCACTAAAATTCTCGAAATTACCCCTTGAAGTTAATCATCATATTTCGTACCGTAGAATGTTGTGGAGGTCGTCGAATTCGAAGTTATTCTCTGACCCTAAACTTGAAAGATTTTCCTTACTAGAAATTCTGTAAATGTATTCCAAAGTTAGCCACTAGTAAGCACAAGCAATGTATAGTATGATAACGAGTCTCATAAGCAAACATCAAAAATCGAATGGGAATTATAACGATGAACGTTGAATGTTATTCACATCACAAATTGATGTAATTAAAAAACTAGCAAGTACTAAGAAGCAATGAATTGCTGTTCCATCCTAATATGGGATTATCCAGTATTGAACATTCAAGATTTCGCTACTACTAAGCCAAGATTCAATAGTGTATAAGATTAACTTCAATTAATTCACAATTGAATTGTCTTCAGTATAGATAGGTTTTCAGTGACTATTATAGCAGGGAAAGATGTTGATTCATAATGGTTTTTAATAATTATGAACCTATACCTGTATGTAAAGATAGATAGTGACTAGTAGTGGAATCCAGGAAACGTACGTTTCATCCTATTTGAGATTCATCAGATGAATGTACCTGCATCTCAGAATTGACAATCATTCAGGACTCAGTAGCTAAGTGGATAACGTGATGGAACGGTACAAGGTTCGAGTTCCGGAGTGAGCATCAACTCTGAGGTACAAGTACATCCATCTGACGAGTTGCAAATAGGATGAAACATGTGTCAAACTGGATTCCATTACTAGCCACTATCCATCTTCACTTAAAAAGCTTGTGACTTAAGGCAATATCGAGGCAATACTCACAAGATGCACATATGCCAATAAGAGACTGATCAATTGCAGTCTTAAACCTCAAGCACAAGCAAGTGGCTATCAGGACTCAGTAACTAAGTGGATAACGCGATGGCGTTTGAAGCGAATGGCAGTGGGTTCGAGTCCCAGAGTGAACATCAGCTCAGATGTAGGTACATCCAGCTGACGAGTCCCAAATAGGACGAAACGCATGTCAAAGTGGATTCCACTACTAGCCACTATCTATCATTGCTTACAAAAAGCTTGTGAATTAAGACAGTATCGAGGCAATATGCACAGTATGTACATATACCAATAAGAGACTGATCAATTGCAATCCTAACACATCGATCGAAAGATTCAAACAAAGAATACCAAGTAAATCTAAACCTGTTACTATACGAAATGAATAATAAGAAACTGATTTGATGGAAAGAAAAGCCAATTTTCGATTGAATTACTCATTCTGAGTTTTGTTCAACATTCAACATCCGTTTTGATTCGTCGTGAGGATCATTCAGTGTAGTAATTGATTTGTTTTCGCAATATGATATTTTATTCTGTATAATATACGATATTCTTGTATTCCCTTGACATGAACTATGCTCACAGTTTGCGATTTGTTATAACTGAGTATGTGATTTAATCCTAATTATTAATTAAAATGGGTGTACAATCAATATAAGAATCAGTGTATTTGAGACTAGATTCGGTTCGTCGTCGTCATGGTGTTTTGGGGCTAATAAATCTTCACTTATACCAGTCTTTGTGTTCTTACTTTCGCGTCGTAGGAATTGCCGAGGTCCCTTGTTCCGAGTATAATTGATCAGCGCTTTTTTTTCCAGCACAGCAATCAGCGACCACCGAATATAACAGAAATATTAAACAAACATTTAAGAATGAATTGTTTTCTTATTCATTCATTCATTCATTCATTCATTATCTTTTTCTATTGCTACTTACCAATAGCTAAATGTACTGAGACAGCTGTTTTATTCGTTGTTAAACTCCACATATGTAAATTATGTATTTCTTTGACACCATTTATATTCATTAATGAATTTTTCACTTCATTAAAATTTAATCCACGTGGTGTAGCTTCCATTAAGACATTTAATGCATCACGTAATATATTAATGGTAGTAATAAGGACCAATAGTGAAAAGAGAAATGTACATAATGGATCGATAATTTTATATTTTGGCTTTTATCCATCAGAGATATGAGTAGAATAACAGAAGAGAAAATAAACAAAAGTGTATATATATATATATATATGAGTATATATAAACAAACAAAACATTTCACTAGTTGAAATCAATAATCAGTTGAAGTTTGACCATTATGGAAAACCTGGAAGCACTGTTTGTTGAGAGTTTCGTTCTATTGTGGAAGTTCTCAGTGGCAGTGTGGATCTACGACCTCGAAGATTCCTGTTAGACATGAACACCGTAGAATGCTGGCTCAATGGTCTAGTGGTTAAGTGCTTGCACGTGAGGCCAATAGGTTCTTCGGTTCGAATCCCGTGAGGTGGGGTTGTGGATGTACACTGCCACTGAAGATTCCCATAATAGGACGAAACGGCCGTCAAACAATGCTTCCAGGTTTTCCATGGTGATCTAGATTCAATTGACTCATGATCTCAACAATTAAAATTACTAAAATCTCCACAAAACCTCTTTTAATAAGAAAAATTTGGCAATATTAAAATGACATTCGTAGTTCAACATGGTTTGAATTGCTTTTTTCTGATTAACGAGTTACTTTTCTATGGGATAGGGTTGTTAACCCTATGCCCAAACCTCCTCCTTTATCCGGACTTGAGACCAGTAGTAGACTCAGTGGGGTGCCTAGTAGAGTTCGTTTGATGTAAAGATCGGTGTCAGGCAAGATTGCTTACTCTTAACCTTTTTGTTTCTCTTGATGATGATGATGGATTATAAAGACATCAACATCTGGGGTGAGGGAAGCATGGGATACAGTGGACAGCTAGGATACAACTGGACGATCTACACCTTGCAGATTATCTGTCTCTTCTACCGCAAATGAGACATCAAATGCAGGAGAAGATGATCAATAGTAGGTCTCAATATACACAAAGGGAAAAGCAGGATTCTCCGATACAACACAGCATGCAACAATCGAGTCACACTTGACGGAGAAGCTTTGGAGGATGTAAAACTCTTTACATATCTGGACAGCATCATTAATGAACACGGTGGACCTGATGCGGATGTGAAGGTGCGGATCGTAAAAGCAAGAGCAGCATATCTACAACTGAAGAACATCTACAACTCAAAACAACTGTCAACCAACACTAAAGTCAGAATTTTCAATACAAATGTCAAGACAGTTCTGATGTATGGGGTGCAAACTAGGAGAACTACGAAAGCCTTCATTCAGAAGATACAACTGTTTATTGACAGTTGTATACGCAAAATACTTCGGATTCGTTGACCAGACACTATCAGCAACAACCTACTATGGGAGAGAACAAACCAAGGGGGAGGAATCAGGAATAAGCGCTGGAAATGGATAAGATATACAATTGAATAAATCATCAAACCGCATCACGAGACAAGCCTTAATTTGAAATCGTGAATGGAAGCAGTAAAGAGGAATACCAAAGAACACATTACATCATGAAATAGAATCACATATGAAAAGAATGAATAATAACTAGAAAGCATTATCTAAGAGAGGATTGTCACGGATTGAAATCATGAGTCAGTTGAAGCTAGACCACCATTGGAAACCCGGAAGCACTGGACGGCCGTCTCGTCCTAGTATGGGACTCCTCAGCAGTGCGCATCCACGACCCCTCACCACGCGGGGCTCGAACCCGGGACCTACTGGCTTCACGCGCGAGCACTTAACCATTAGACCACTGAGCTGGCGTCCGACGGTGTTAATTTCTAACTTCAACCAAATCACGAAGTTGCGCCACCATATACCATTGTCTTCAGTGAGCTGATATCTCACAACAGACCTGGTTGTACTCCACTGGTAACGGCTTCCCACTAGAACTTCAGGAGTATCTCTTGAAGTCAGTCACTAGTGAGCAGATGATTGGATGAAGAATGCTGATGTATGGCTTATGCTCCTCCACAAAGAGTAACAGGCATACAATCCAATCGGAATCATCATCATCATCATCGTCATCATAATCTTTCTTTATAATGAATAGATTATTAATATGAAACAAATAAAGACAAAGAAAAACAACTATTGATTACTTGAAAATATATAACCATTGCTGCAATCATTACACCAATACTTTGTAATAGATCTCCAATCACATGAATAAATGCAGCACGTACAGTAATATTTGGACGATTAAATTCTTTATGAATATCATGATTAATTTCATGTGAATGATTATTGATAGTTAAATGATTAACATGAGTTCTAGGAAATGAATTTAACTCTTGATGAGAATGTTCATTTAATGAATTATGATTATGATCATGATTATGTAATGTGAATAACATACTGAAAGAAGAAAAAATATGAAAGTTGTAGAGATTGAGATAATGAACTCAATCAGTCAATCAGCTACAATGTAGGATTAGCCATATATATATATATATATACATCGGTTCAAGTTGTTATACCTCATTAGTACAACAAGATCAATACCGAATTCATCGACGTAGTTGTAGTGACTGTGCTTCGTTGACCAATCACTCTCGTAACCGTTATCATATAATCTTTAACGGTGTTTGAAATTAGTAGGCAAAGAGAAGCAACGACTACAGTTTTATTAACAGATAATTCAGATCACAAAGCAGTGAGACGAATGAATGGGTCAGCGAACCGAGAGTGTAGAGAGTGTCGAGTGTTCAATGTACCGTGTATACATATAGGGAAATGAATAGATCATCGAATCAATTAGGCAGTTAATAATAAAGCTAGCAGAATGAATATATGCGTAGGCGATAAGCAATGTTCAAGCATACATATTTCATACAAGCACAATAATAATAAAGGTACAATAAGTTGTTATAGTACGGATGACTTTGTCCGCTAAATAAGTTAACAAAAGGGCTTAAACGAATTAAATGAGAACAAACTCAATTGCACATGAGTTGCTATATCGTTACTTCAGTGGTGGTATTATATAAAAGAAAGATTGAATATAAGGATATAATAGAGGAAGAAAGAATTAGTTCGTAGAAAGAAAGATATGAAGTGATTTTAATCTCTTAGTTTAAGGGAAGACAGAGAGTGTATTCACCTACGTTATTGTGATCGACTCTGAGCCATGTCACGCTGAGTCTCAAATCATTGTTTGCGATAGCCATTGGGACTCCAGCTAATTAGTCTGCATCTACCAACAACATTGAAAACCTGGAACTACTGGACAACTGTTTCATCCTATTGTGGGACTCCTCAGCAGTATTGATCCACGATCCTGACTCGCGGGATTCGAACATAGGACCGTCTAGTACTTCCAGGTTTTCCATAATGGTCTAACATTAACCGGATTATGATCTCAATCAAAAATGTTAATAGTGCAATTTTGATGAATCCATTTTAATGTTGATAGTCATTCAGACTAATGCGCTACATCTTAAATTGATCAATGGAATTCAATTAGTAAAACTGATTATAAGAACATGAAATTGGTTCTTCCTCAGTTTAAAAGTTTCTGTTAGATGGTTTTTTTTAAAAATGGGATATCCATCACAAATTGAAATCAGACAGCTGTCTTATCTTAGAATGAAAACCGTCTACAGAGTGTATCATTAATCTCACTCATGATGAGTTTTGTTAAAAGCACTAGTCACTTTAGTTCACTGAAGTGAAATCCAATGATCGATATTTCCAACTCCAGTTATATCCGATGATGTTCGACATCTATTCTACAGCTTGTAGTAACCTATTTGTATCAAGAGAACGCGATTGGTTTAATGGAAACAATTATTATTATAACCAATTATACCAGTGATTATTTTACTGTACTTGCTTGTTTGCCTGTACAAAAGACATTTTTCCTTCCGTTGATTATGACCTTGCACGCACTTACGTTTGCTCAGTGATTCCGTTTGTACTCCTTTGGTGCGGTCTCGGTATTCTTTCGATAGCACAAGATCGCCAACAAATATATCTCGCTACAACCTCCAAAGAACAGATTGCGTCGGATAATAGAAGCAGACATGAAAACGATGAATTACAACTGGACGGAGCTAGAAAGGATTGCCCAGGACAGGGTTGGATGGAGAATGCTGGTGAGCGGCCTATGCTCCTTCACGAGGAGTAACAGGCATAAGTAAGTAAGTAAAGTAACAACCTCCAATCGCCTTCTAATATCTGGTACGCAACCTTCTTGTAGTGGTTATCATAGTCAACTACGACTCGACGCCACACTGCAAGCTGATGTCACAAATACTATGTGCATAGTTCAAGAGCATGGATCTAATGATTATACGAACCTATTTGTTGTCAAAATTTAATATCCTTCATCATATAGTAATCATCAAAGTGAGTTATTCTACAAGCTGTTTCCTTTTTTCCTAACTAAACAATAATGCATTCTAACCAATGTGAAGGTAAATCAATTGCTAAGTTGCTTGAATTACAAAGATTGGATTGTAGGTTTGAGTTGGGCTCCATTATGATTTGATCAGTTAAGTTGTATCAGTAATTCTTAGAAAACAGTATAACTGATTCACCGATTATATATTATCCAGATCAAATGAAATCAATGATCAACAAAACTAAATGAGATGGATTCTTGTAAGAGATTCGTTATTCGGTTCTATTGACAAATATGATATGATTGATAACTGAAGATTTGTAAGAAGAAAATTTCTACATTTGAGTATTTACTATCCGAAACCAAAACATTACATAATCTTAGGTAACTTTATAAGCAAAGATGGATAGTGGCTAGCAGTGGAATCCAGATGAAGTTAAACTGCACCCTCATTGCACAAGCAAGTGGCTATCAGGACTTAGTAACTAAGTGGATAACGCGATGGTATTTGTAGCGAACGGTACCGGGTTCTAGTTGTAGAGTGAACATCAACTGTGGGATGGAGGTACATCTAGCTGACGAGTCTCAAGTAGGACGAAGCACGCGTCAAAGTGGATTCCACTACTATCCACTATCCATCTTTGCTCAAAATGCTTGTGAATTAAGGCAATATCGAGGCAATGCATATAGGATGCATATATGCCAATAAGAGACTGATCAATTGCAGTCTTAACACATCAATGGGAATATTCAAGCAAACAATACCAACTGAACTTTGGTAACTTTTTTAAAAGTGATTGATCAATGAGGTAAGAAAAACCTTTGTTAAACAAGATATTGCTATTATTTTTTTATTTATACTATGATATGTGCTACTGATGTCAATAGATATAAGTAGTATGTATCACCAATCGAAAGTGAAATGCTTGGAGGCAGAAGGTTATGAAGATCAAAGAACAGACAATGAGAATAAAGAATGATTGGCGTGGAAATAAAGGAATAGTCAAGTTTGAGACAATTGATTAATATTTTGCAAATGAAGAATTTACTGTAAGAGAGAATGAACCAGATTCTAGTGGAGGAAGGAATCAGGAGAAAGCTCTGTAAGTGGATCGGACACACATTGAGGAAAGCACTCAATTGTATCACAAAGCAAGCAGTTACTTGGAATCCTCAACACCAAAAGAGTAAAGGTAGACGAAAGAACAGAATACGCCGAGAAAGGGAGACAGATATGAGAAGAATGAACATTAATTGGATAGAATTGGAAAGGAAGGACCAGGACAAAGAGTGGGTTGAAGAATACTGGTTTGCGGCCTATGCTCCATTAGAGGTAACAGGCTTAAGTAAGTAGTAAGTAAGGTGTTCTGTAAGTGTGATGTTCATTCGGTCACATTCGTTTATCTTCACTTATGTTCTCATTCACTACACTATCACAGAAAGTGACTACCAAATTGTCTTGAACCTTGATGATGATCGATTTGGCAGATTATTTTATTAGATAAGAATGATTATGATATTCAATAGTAAACAAATACTCACATGATATTGACACCAACACCAGTAGCTGATGTAATAAGCATAATTTTACCATTGATTTCATAATTATTATGTATAATACGTATCACAGCCAAATAGACTAATATACCAGTAACAAGCCAAATTAATAGAACAGATGCCAATGCACCGACAACCTCTTGAATTGTAATCAAATAAGATAAGAATATATGGACTTGACTATTGTAATCATTATTATTAATATAAATCAATGAAATAAGTAATGTCAGCTATCTTACATAATAGTCGTTTTATGATTAGTTTGATTCAATCACTATGCATGTGTTGTAACGTTCGTTGATACATCGGTGAAGAATATAGAGATCAAGAATGTGTTAAAAGGTGTATTATTGAAAAGAACCCATTCAGATTTATAAGTTGCTAGACTGACAAGAAATTACATGAATGATAACTTTGATCAGATAAGTGATTTACTGAACCTTAAAGTCAATACATACACCTATAGCGGAGGCGAAATATCCGTCTATCAAGTTTAAAGACTAGTTTACTGCGCAGGAGTTCGTTCTGTTCTACTTTGTGGTTACGAAACATGACCGTTAAAGGTAGTAGATACTCGTAAGCTATACTAGTATTTGACCACAGATGCCTTAGAAATATTGCTCGCATCTGCTAGGATCATAAGGTAAGTATTAGTGAGGTTAGACGTAGGGTATTAGGGAATGATGATGGTGAATCAGTTGATGAGGTTGTGAATCTTCATCAACTGAGATGGTTTGGTCACGTGTTATGTATACCTGAACACCGATGAACACGACGCACAATGCTGACTAGTGTTGAGAATAGTTGGAAGAAAGTTGGCGGCAGCCAAACCAAAATGTGGCATCAGTGCTTGAAATCACTAACTTCTAATCTGAGCCATGCAAATAAATGCAGACTACTCGGTTGAGGTCCGCGTGACTATCGTAACCGATGGTTGAAGACTCAGCGTGACATGGCTCAGAATCGATCATAATGGCGAAGGTGTATACACTCTCTGTCTTTCCTTAAACTAAGAGATTAAAATCGCTTTATATCTTTCTTTCTATGAACTAATTCTTTCTTCCTGTACTATATTCTTAAATATAATCTTTCTTTTATATATTACCACTACTGAATTAACCACTTCTATGAATCCAGTGTTCATCTTGCTGTCCTAATAAGGTATGGCTACTTGAACCGATGTATATATATGCCTGATCCTACATTGTAACTGACTGACTGACTATCTTTCATTTGAGACCGCTTGTAATCTATCTGACTCTGGCTTGTATATATCATTATCTTCTGTGAAATTAATATTCCTTCCTTTTGGATTCATCTCTACGATTCAAGGTGTAAACATGAACAAAACCTTAGAAACAATAAGTAAATGATCAAGGAATCATATTTATACTGTGTGGGCTTAAAAATATGGATAATGCCTAAACATCTTTGAACACTTCATTCAATATACATTTACTAATACTGAAAGGGATGCTTCATCATGTATATGTATACTCCAAAAACACCCTCGATTTACTTTTAACCATCATTTACTTGACATTGATATTGTATGGGTTTTGGTTAGCTAATTGGTACTGAGAGGGGGGGACTTTCTTGTCATTTGGATCATTTTACTCATTCCAGTACATCTTTTTATTATAGAATAAGCATAGTTACAAATATTACTTTCTATGATGTGCAGGTGAGGATAATAACGACTGATTGTATGCTTAGTCAGAGTAGTAGATAGTCTGACTGGTACTAGATAAGTTACATAATCTCCTACCCATATTATCATTATTGTAGGTTTTTAGTGTGGAAATATACATACGTTCTAGTCAGGCAAGTCACTTGTTCTTGATTCGAGTCATATTGAAATCCTGTAGAATAGACACTCGAATGGAATCTAATGTAGATATTCCTCCTAAGATAAATTAACGTCCCATTCGTGTAGACAAAGACAACCGAGCGTTATAACACTTTACATACTTAGATAATGAATAATTTTAATCAGAAAGAGTCATCTGAATACCTTTTAACCGGTATATATCTATGATCTTATGCATAATTGAACACAGGATGTTCCATTCTTTCAATGAACACAATATTCTTATACCAGAGAGATGGAATTCAGTTTTTCGATGAAGTAAACTGCACTGAATTTGTATGAAGTGTGTGAAAAGTTCTTCATCGATGTAGTTTGTTGAGTTAGGTTCACTGTTAGACTCATCAATTTAGTGGCTTATGTGTATCTGACTTCAATTGTTAATCCAAAAAGACAATCAGGGAAACGAAGTAAAGAAAGAGATGAAGAATCGAAAGGAAATTATGCGAGGTGGAGATGGTATATGAGCTATATTGATTTAATCAGTCCTTACTCGATATTTATAGTCAAACATAAATAAGTTACAAACGCATGATGATTAGGGTAAGTAATTAACACACATAACAACCATCTAAAAACAGTCAGGGTTAATAAGCCTGTAAGTAGTCAAATCAAAATGTGAATCAAGAAGAATGAGTAAATTGGTCTGTTCAAAAAATAGAATAAGCCATATGGACATGATGCGGCACTAGACACTATAAGTTGTTTACATTTCTAGCTTTTATCGGTTTGCCTCTGATATGTGATTAATTATAAGTATAGGGTTGTGGAGATTATTAAGTTACTGATTGAGATTATGGACCGATTGATATTAGACCACGATTGAAAACCTGCAAGCACTGGACGGCTGGTTCGTCCTACTGTGGGACTCCTCAACAGTGCACATCCTCGATCCTTCCCTCAGGATTCGAACCCAGGATCTCCGGTCACGCTCGCGAATGCTTATCCTTTAGACCACTGAGCCGGTATCCAACAGTGTTAATGTCTAACTTCAACCAATCCACGAAATTGTGCAACCATCTCTACCCGACACGGGATTATGAATGTGCACTGCTGAGGAGTCCCACAATAGAACGAAACAGCCGTCCAGTGCTTTCAGATTTTCAATGATGGTCTAAAATCAATTAGTTGAAGATCTCAATCAATATGATTAATTCTCGATATAGTTGAACTCCACTGTTCATGATTTCAACGAGACTATAGTCTATGAATAAACCAATCAGATTTAAGACAATAGATCTTGAATTTTGGCGTGAAATTCATTCACTCATTTGGCTAAATGGAATTTCGGCATTATAACTGATATTAAATCGTGATAAATATCTTAACCATCAACTGTAACCCTCATTTGGTCCTGGTTTAATAGGTGAATACTCTCTAGATCAGTCTAACATCGCTCAAAGGTTATCCATAATCAATTATCATTTGACCGAGTACATGAAGGATTAACCGAAAAATCAATATAAAATAATGATAGAAAGAAATCTGATCATTATTGATTATTTGATTGATTTCAATTTATGATCAATATTATGATCGGTAATCATTAAACATGGATAACAAAGAATATCTCTATAACATTCAATAACCACTTCCCTCTTCCTTCTCACCATTCCATTATGATAATCTAGATCATTTAAATACTTTGTATACAAGATATAAAATAGAAAACGAATTACCAGCACGATGCCATCCAAAACTCATACGTTTTGTGGATGGTCTTGATGCTAAATATAAAGCTAATAAACTGATTAAGAAACTAGCAAAATCTGTTAATAAATGTGCAGCATCTGTCATAATAGCCAAACTATGAGCTAATGCACCACCTATTTAAAAATATTAAAAAAAAAGAAAATCGAAACAAGTAAACGTGATCATTATGATTTCATAGGTATCGTTCAACAATAAACATTCTGAAAGTTGTATGGATTTAGTTTCAATAGTTGAGATCATGAATCGATTGATATGAGATCATCATTTGGTAACTTGAAAGTACTGGATGATCGTTTCATCCTATTGTGAAACTCTTCAACGACAGTGTGCAACCATGATCACGCCTCGTGAGATTTGAACATAGGACCTATCAGTATTGCGTGTGAACACCTAACCTTCAGACTAGTGACTCGGTATCTAACGGTGTGAATGTTTAACTTTAATAAATCTACGAAATTCAGTGACACATCCACTAATGTCTTCAATGAATCGCTTGAACTCCACTGGTCACAGCTTCTCACGAAAACTCCACGAAATACCTCTTGAAGCCAGTAATGAGTGAGTCCCACAATAGGACAAAACAGCCGTCAGACAGTGCTTCCAGTTTTTTCGTGGTGATCTACATTCAATTGACTCATCATCTCAACTATTGAAATTATTATAATATCCACTAAAACCTTTCTGATATGTATTTATTTGAATGAATCCTTCAAACAATATCTTTAATGAAAGGGAAACTATTGAATGGTTCATGTTAAACAATCTCTATTCTAACTAGATTCCTTAATATCTGGTTGTAAATAACAAGGTGTATCTGTATTCTTTAATTTGTTGAATCTGGTTGGGATTTTGTTTTCGCAACAAGAACTACTACAATGATCATGAAAACTGTACACAAGATACTCAACATCCATTGACTGGATACCATCAGCAACATTCTTCTGTGATAGAGGACAAACCAACTTCCAGCTGAAGAAGAAATTAAGAATAAACGTTGTAGGTGGATAAGACATACATTGAGGAAATCATCAAACCACATCACGAGTTAAGCCCTAACTTGAAATCGTGAATAGAAACGGGAAAGAGGAATACCAAAGAACACATTACATCAGGAAATAGAATCACATATCAAAAGAATGAATAATAACTAGAAAGAATTGTCTAGGACAGGATTGGATGGAGAATCCTGGTGTGTGGCTTATGCTCCTCCACAAGGAGTAACAGGCTAAGCAAGTAGTTAAGTATCTGTATTCTTGATAAGAATCACTCTTACTGTAAGATTTGAAACCATTTTACTTAACATGATTGTCATAGATGTTGCAAACAATGTAGTTGAGCTGTATCTAGTCTGTCATAACAAAGGAATATGGTTTGAAGTTGGTTTTCATAAATTTAGTCATCCAAGCATTGACATCTCGAAGATTTGTGGTCTGGATAATTCCATTAGTCAATTCAAACCGTTGAATTCCAACACAGTGGTTTAAAGGTAACGGGCTTTGGGCTTGGTTTGAAGGTCTTGGATGCTATTTTTAGTGGAGTCATTGATATGCTTTACTGAGAAGTCCCACATTATTAAGCGATCTCTATCTTCTGTCATCGGATTTTCAAATGATTATCTAGACACAGTTAACTTGTGTCTAAATTATTATTTATGTTTAATTTATAAACGATGTTCTCTAAACAATGGTATAGTCAAGCAATCAGTCATGTTTACTATAATCACATCTCCATATTGACAATCTTGAAACTGACTACTTAATACCACTGTTATGTATACTACTTATGTCGACAGATATAAGTAGTATATAACACTATTCCGAAATAGAATGCAAACCAGAAGAAGATTGAAATGAATGAATTAGAGAGAACAGAAATGTGAACAAAGAGAAATTGTGATAACAACAGGAAAGAAGTGACGATGACGTTTGTAAGAGACAACTGACGAAATATATACTGTACTCCGTAATTTCTCATTAAACAATAAATTGGTCTTCTCCAACTGAATTCCATCGTTCACTGCACCATCACTGGAATTTTATTATAAGAAGAGATATATAAGTAGCTAGCAATGAAATCCAGAACTTAAGTTTCGCTCTACTTGAGACTCGTATCCTGAATTCCACTACTAGCTACCATCCGTATTTGTTTATAAAACATGTGAATTAAGGCAATATGGAGGTAATCCACACAAGATACACATATAACAACGCGAGACTAATCAATTTCAGTCCTAAACAACAATAGTGCTGTAGTGAACAAGAACACAAGCGAGGAACAATGTATTTCAGTATGAAATTATAGAATGCCTTAGTAAAATCTCAGAACCATACTTTAAATACTTCATTTGCAACACGCTCATCAATTGTCTCAGGGTTGATTGTTCCTTCATTTCTACACCAATCATTCTTTGTTCTCGTTCTTTATTCTTCGATCTTATTAACCTTCTGCTATTAAACATTTCATTTTCGATTGATGATACATATACTACTTACATCTATCAACACAAGTAGCATATTCCATAATACAAGCAAATAATACCAAATGAATTTAGAATGTGATTATTTCATATATCTTAACTGAAATTCATTTATAAGCAAAGATAGATAGTGGCTAGTAGTCGAATCCAGTTTGACGCACGTTTCGTTCTATTTTGGACTCGTCAGCTGAGTGTACCTGCATCTCAGAGTTGATATTCACTCTGGGACTCAACTCTGAGATGCAGGTACACCCAGCTGACGAGTTTCAAACAGGACGAAACGCGCGTCAAACTGGATTCCACTGGTAGCCGCAATCCATCTCTGCTTATAATACTTGTGAATTTTAAGGCAATATCGAGGTAGTCTGCACAGGATGTACATATACCAATAAGAGACTGATCAATTGCAGTCTTAAACCAAGTGAATTGAAATTCATTTGATCATAATTATTATTTAAATAAACGTAAAATTTTAAATTAATTATCATAATTACTAAGTTCCGGTTTGATGGTAGAATAAACAAAATGATTATCATACTTCCTATGAGACTACTTATTTAAAATAAGTAATTTATACTTAATGAGGAAGTTGTAGACATTGATGAATTTTCAAAGTTTAGATCATAAATGGATATTAGTTAGATAATCGTTGGATGTATTGAGTGGCTATTTGATCTTGTTATAGATGATCACCCTAAATACTTTAGTACGGTTAAAGGTGGGGAGGGTCAGCTTTCTCTCTTCATATGCTCTCACATGGCTACATGCATACAACCAATTCCAGGGAAGTCCTACTTACTGACTTCTCATGGCGCGAGTGTTGTTCACGAAATTGAATAGATGAAAAACTAATATCCGGCACTTGAACCGGGTTGGGGGACATGGAGAGTTCACCTAGAGGAGTTAAAGCACCCTCATTACAAACCAATGGTGTACATATGCTCTATGATCCTGAAGGAATATACGGCATCAGGACCTATTGTTGGTCACCGGCTACCATGAGACTGCATCTCCTAACGTTGACACATTGTCTTGTGGATCAGACCTTTAGATCAAAGGCTTTGAGTGTGGCCCCCTAAGAAAATCGCCTGGTTCAGTTTGGTCAACCGGGTAGTACTATAGCCTACACACAAATCAAATGACTTTTGTGTGGTGTATATGTGTTCGGTGCCCCCTTTGTACCAATATTTATGTGTTCATATATATAAATAAACTAAAGAATAAATGAATGGAAACCGCTAGGAATTATTTATGGACTATTATTACAGATAATCTTATTGGATTATTATTAAGCAACTAGATTATATGTATACTTCTATATCTATACTTCTATCTGAAGTTTGTGCTGATGATGTCGTTCAGAAGAACGATGAAAGCTCCACGACCGAACCATCCAGCTCAGAGAACAAAACACCACCAAAATACTTATATTTCTTTTATCATAAGCTTCCATTTGACCTATTGGCTACCATTCTTGAGTTATCCCCTATTTATTAGCTACAGTATCCCATACTAACAGCCACTTTCGGCTTGTGTGTATATTTGAAATACATGATTCATATAGCGGAGGTTGATCTTTTTGTTCTGAACTGAACTGGTCGAGTTAGGCAAGAAGTTAGTATCTCAGAGGACTAATAAGAACTTAGAGATGACTTTCGATTGCTCTTACTGGTTAATGTATCATTGGTATAGCGCAATGCCAATGTCATATAAACCGGTGTTATATTGACAGACACAAAAGACATAACAATAAGATTCTTCAGTGATATAACAAGATAAAAAGACAAAATTATATTCTTCTATTCATTGTGAATTTTACTCAATACTACTCCTGTTTTCTTGATCCAAATGTAGAAGATTAGGATGATAGCAGACATAATGTTGATATTCTAATACTGCTCAAACTAATTTGTTTGAATTTACTTCGTTATCTCGACGCCATCGCTATCAAATCATTGAAATTAAACCCAACCCATTCAAAAAGAACATAAATGTAAAACTCTCACTAAGGAGCTGATTGAAGGTAGTCATCAGAAAACCCTGAACTTAGGTTTTGTGTTGTTTGGTTCTACGACAACAAGATGCATCTGTAGTGTTTAGGGAACTGATGACCCCCCAATGGATCCTGTGCAATGTCAAACATAAGCGTCTACTAATCACTCAGTAAAAGTATAAATAATAACCCTCCATATGGAATCCTCATCAGTTATATTTCCACATTACTTATTCAATAATATTAATCATTAGTCATTTAATTGTTAATGAGCTCTATGTAATTGATCTTGTTCACAAATTTGAATAAAGTAAGATCTTAAACTAGTTACAGAATACAATGAATTCATAGTATGTTATTGCTTTCTCTTCATCTAATAGGTTCGATTCCTCTGAGCTATTGAGATAACTTCGAATTTGAGAAGAAAAATAAAGAATTGTCCAACGATAACACCAATGATTAACAACGTTGTATGCTGGCTCAGTGGTTTAGAGGTTAAGAGCGCGCTCGCGCGACTGAAGGCACTGAGCTCGAATCCCGCGGGCAGGTTCGTAGATATGCACTGTTAAGGAGTCTCACAATAGAATGAAACGGCCATCCAATGCTTCCAGGTTTCCGATGATGGTCTAACACAACAATCGGTTCATGATCTCATTCAAAAACTTAATCATCTCCAAAACCCTATACTGATAATTTGTTTTAAGTGACTATTCCAGAACATCCCAAGCTAATTTTCATCATATAATATCATAAGACATCTTAGATTGACTATGAGAGCTCAACAGCTAAGTGGATAACGTGATGGTGTTTGATTTGAACGGTAATAAGTTCGAGTCCTACAGTGAGATGCAGTTACATCGAGTTTACAAGTCCCAAATAGAATGAGACGTACATCCTGGATTCCACTACTAGCCGCTATCCATCTTTGCTTATCAATCAAACTACTTCATAAAAGGTTATATAAATTCATATATATCTTTTTCATTTTTTCATGAAAAGTTAAACATATTACTTAAATAGTGTTCATAAGTAGTAAAATAGATAAATCTTAAAAAACATACCGATTATTTCACCTGTCATAAAAAATAAGCATAGACCACTGGCAAGTATTAATTTTCTTCTAGCATTTTTATCTATATTTGAACTAACTGTAGAATGTTCATGACAATGATCATCTATTCATTAAAAAGAAACGAAAGAAATTACAATAGTTTCATTAAACAGCCTATATATTATTATGCAAACATGGATAGTGGCTAGTGGTGGAATCCAGGATGCACGTCTCATTCTATTTGGCACTTGTGAGCTGGATGTACCTACATCTCACTGTAGGACTCGAACCTATTGCCGTTCACTTCAAACATCATCACGTTACCCAATCAGCTATTGAGTCCTGTTAATCACTTGCTTGTACACTGTGATGAAGTTTGAATTCATTTGGTGTTGTTTTACTTGTATCTTACCATTGTTATTTAGGACTGTAACTGATCAGTCTCATGTTGGTATATGTGCATCCTATTCGGATGCCTCAATATAGCCTAAAGTCAGGACTCAGTAGCTAAATGGATAACGCGATGACGTTTGAAACAAACGGTGCTCCGTTCGAGTCCCATAGTGAACATCAACTCTGAGATGCAGGTACATTTAGCTGACGAGTCTCGAATGGGACGAAACGCGTGTCCTCAACTCAACTGTTAGCCACTATCCATCTTTGCTTATAAAGCATTTATCGATGAACAAAAAATATTCGTTTTGTTTTTTCGTATAGTGTTACATTCACCATAATACCTAACATTAAGATTGGTCTTTTTTAACTTAAAGATTTATCTATCCATACTAATCAATGTGGTAGATGAAATGAGATCACTCACCTCCGATAACATGACTTTACGGATCAAGTTCTTTATGAATACAGTTAATCAGTTAACATAAGTGTTAAGTTATACTATATGTGTTAGCCTCCGATACAACACAGCATGCAACAACCGGATCACACTTGACGGGAAAGATTTGAAAGATGTAAAAACCTTTAAATATCTGGACAGCATTATTGATGAACACGGTGGACCTGATGCGGATATGAAGGCGCGAATCGGAAAAGCAAGAACAGCATATTTACAATTGAAGAACATATGTAACTCAAAACAACTGTCTACCAACCATCACCAAATTCAGAATTTTCAATACAAATCTCAAGACAGCTATACTTTATGAGGCGGAAACTTTGAGAACTACGAAAGCCATCATTCAGAAGATACAACTGTTTACTAACAACTGTCTACACAAAATACTTCGGATCCGTTGACCAGACACTATCAGCAACAACCTACTACGGGAGAGAACAAACCAGAATCCAGTGGAGGAAGAAATTAGGAAGAAGCGCTGGAAGTGGATAGGACACACATTGAAAAAAGCATCCAACTGCGTCACAAGGCAAGTCCTCACATGGAATCTTTAAGGCCAAAGGAAAAGAGGAACATCAAAGAACATATTACGTCGAGAAATGGAGACAGACATGAGAAGAATGAACAACAACTGGATAGAACTGAAAAGGAAGACTAAGGACAGGGTGGTTTGGAGAATGGTGGTCGGTGGCCTATGCTCTATTGGGAGAAACAGGCGTAAGTAAGTAAGTAATTTATTGGAATAAAATCAATAAAGCGTTTAAATTAAGCATTATTTTAACGGTTGAATTCATGAATTCATCTGAGATAGACCACCATTGAAAACCTGGATGCACTGGACTTGGATGATGATGATGTTGTACGAGATCATGGACCGGTTGAAATGAGACATTAAAACTGTTAGATTCCGACTCGTTGGTCCAGAGGTTAAATGTCTGCTAGCGAGACTAAAGTTCGTGGTTTCGTGTCCAACATTCAAGGTTATGGATGCTCACTGGGACGAAATGGCCATCTCTTGTTTTGATAATAATCATTATTTGTGAATATATTCTTTGGCAATAATATCCGACAAGTATGAGAATAGATTTTTACCTCCTGTCATTTATGTGCAAAAAATCAGTTTGTTTCCAGTGTACTTTATGCACAAAGAAAACCAAGTCTTGTTACGTCGTAATGAACAAAAAGCCAACCACTAAACTGACCAATTATATATATATATCGGTAGAAGTAGGAGATGTCGACTATTAAACATTAACTCGATGGTATCAATCCCAAATTGCTTACCACTAAATCCAAAGATACTAGATTTGATCCTTCAGAAGATCTTAGGTATGTACTTCAGAAAAGTCTTAAACTAAAAGAAAAGATTTTTGAATTATTTCTTGATTTTCAATAATTTCATGTTTCTCCAATCTATGATGAAAATCTTCTTCATACTCGCATTTCATTTACTGTCATCCTTTTAAATCCAGATGCTACTATGAGAAGTACCTTCTAAATAAGGTTTATTTAATAACAGCTATGTGTCGATTGAATATTCAGTATTGTGGAGGTCGATTTAAATAAACAATTCATATACTCTACTAAATAATGCATATTTGTTTAGTCACTAGTGATGATCGAACTCTATACCTACTTACTTACGCCTGTTACTCCTCGTGGAGGAGCACAAGCCACCCACCAGCATTCGCCATCCAACTCTGTCTTGGATCAAGTTAAAATGTTTGATCACTAGTCTATGTGACTCGATATCTGAGGCACAATGTTTTGATGTTAAGTGCTCGGAGGTAAGATCTTATAATTTCTGAAGACTAGATTAACTTAACATTGGTAATGACTCTTTGACTGACCAATTATAAGTATTTCAATCTGAAACAAAGTTAGTAGCTGGCACAATAGCTCATTAGTAATAACTCAAAATGCCAAACTGGATAACTTTGTTCGAATACAAGAAAGAGAATCAGTTCATTCAAGATTCCAGGTAATCTTCTTGACAAGTCCTAACCCGACCGAAACCTATGTCGAGGAGGGTTTTATGATAACTACCTTTGCTCAGACAATGAATAATGTGAATTTTATAAAAGACTAGTATACTGAAATACGTATATTCCTGTAAGAGTATTAATACGAATAGCATTTCAACTGAACCAACAACAACATTACTTCACTATCTATTTTACGGTCTTCCATCAGTTAGTAACTAATGAGAATCAGAAAATACTGAATAAATAATTCATCCTAGTATGAGACTTCTCACCAGTGTACAAACATGACGGATCGAATCCCTGACCTCCACGCTTCACAATTAGTGTTTAATCTTCAAACCACTGGATTAGCATTCAATGACTGAAATCGTTTAGTGTAGATAAGTATCGTAGGCAATTGATGTTGCAGGATTCTATTTCAATGACTAAAGAATACGAAATGTTATATTCTGGACATTACTACTGATTGATGTTAACGGAGTAACACTCATGTATATTATGTTATGACTGGTCAGTTTGTAGTGAACGATAACATTACGGAACATCTTAGGAAAATGTCAGAATCATACAGTAAATTCCTCATTTGTAAAATATCAGTCAGTCGTCTCAGATTTCATTGTTCTTTTGTTTCCACAACAATCATTCTTTATTCTCGTTCTCTATTCTTCAATTCTCAACAGGTATTTCACTTTCGGTTGATAATACATACTGTTATGACCTTGGATGTCTGACTTTTTCTATCACGCGACTTATCTACCAATCCAAGTACGACTTATACGAATCTTCACACTAGCGTCCTTATTGGTCCTATGTCCTACGAGCCCTTCCACTTGAGTCCAGAACAAGATACCAGCTTCCGAATCAGAGCAGATCGTTTATTTCAGGCATACTTGGTTTATATATCAATCATACAGACCGCAACGTACCATAAAATAGGAAATAATATTTGTACACAAATAAGCCCAAAAGTGGCTGTGAATGTGGGAGGCAGTAATTAATAAACTGAACATAACTTAAGAACCGTAAATCGTACAATAATAAATTATAGGCCAAAATAAAGCTTATCATAATACATACTACTTATATATCTGTCGATATCAGTAGCATACACCACAAGTTGATTTAGAATCTTAAGCTCGACATTATCGTCATCATCATCATCAAGAATGAATCCGTTTCTGTATAGTTGGAATCATCAAATATTACAGTAAATCCTGACCGAAATTAATCATTTGCTTGAAAGTCCCATATCTTGTAATCAGTTATTACATAACAATGAATAAGCGAAACAAAAAGAAAAGAGTAATCATGATACTTCCTCACTTATATCAATACACGTGGACAACTGCGGACACTCATTCGATTGAAAAAATGTAGAAATCTTGGACAGAGGAAATTCCGAAAACACCAAAGAATTTTTAGAAGCTTGACACTCAAGTCAATCAGCAATCAACAAGCACATTGAAATCGATCCAATTTATCAACCAATCAGGAACAAAAATCAAATCAATCGGAGATACAACCAAAACAAAGAAGTAAACAATGACCAATTTAAGGTCAATAAGAACCAATCAACGTCACGGTGTACAGAACAAGCTGTGAAACACAAATGGAGAAATTCGAACACTTCACTTCTATCTGAAGTTTGTGCTGATGATGATGTCGTTCAGAAGAACGATGAAAGCTCCACAACCAAATCATCCAGCTCAGAGAACAAAACTCCATCAAAAGTAATCATATTCATTATGATGTCATATTCAATCTTAACAAGATGTTAAATCTATAGTAAACATTGCATACTACTGAAATGATTACTGTCAATAGTATACAAACACCCGTATATTATTCGATATATATACAAAGACAATCAATATTGAAAAGGGTATGATATTTGAAAAAGATACAGATTTCCCTTAAAATTGTTACTACCACCTTATATGCGGGTAAATCTAAATTTAAAAGACGTGCTATATCTATCATGGACAATACAATAGAACAATCAATATTTGAATGGTGTATTGAATGTAGTTGTATATGTGAATTTACATAACAACATGAGTAGAACCAAATAGTAAAGACTTATTATTGTAGTGTTACATAATTCTAAACTAGATCTCAATTGTAAACATTAAAGGAAAGAAGAAGGTACTCTGATTTGCCCATTCACCAGCTTCACTCCTCCTATCTGTTAAGTATTAGGTACTAAACTTATATTTGTTGATGATGAAAAAGATTTATAGCTCAGTTAGAATTTTATTCTCTGAATTAGATCGTTTAGTCATGAAGTTTTAATTGTTCTATTTAAAGTTTGTACTGGATATGGATCATCAGAATAACAATGAAAGCTCCAGATGGATTTTGTGAATATTATAGTAAGTTCAATGGTTAAGATCATGAGTCCGTTGAAGTTAGACCACCATGGAAAACCTGGAAGCACTGGATGGCCGTTCGTGAGACTCCTCAGCAGTGCGCATTCAAGTGCTGGCGCGCGAAACCAGCAGGTCCTGGGTTTCTAAACTCTCAGGGGCGAGGCCATGGATGCGCACTGCTGAGGAGTCCCACAATCTGACAAAACAACCGTCCAGTGCTTCCAGATTTTCCATGATCATCTAGCTTCAACTGACTCATGATCTTAACCATTAAAAGAACATACATTATAATAAACATTCTTCATTCTAATTGGAAAAATCAGTCTTATGAAAACTAATGATAAATCAATTGTAATCTGAATAGACAAATTCTCAATGATCTTATCTAATTGATCAATTAGATCATTGGAACCATGCCAAAAATCTTATTTATAACGTATTCCTCGATAGATTACTGAAATACATTCCATCTGTTGAAGCAGATTTTGTTACAATGAAGTTGAGTTGAATTCAAATGTTTAATCTACTGAATTACTTAAACCGTTCAGTGTATGAAGTACAATGAACATTAAATGAATGACATTTACCTGTAACAGGTTATTGATATGTGATTATTCCTTTCTTTTTGTCTTACGAAAGATTCTTAATATTGTAGGTAAAGATGAATAGTGGTTAGAGTAGTAGAATCCAAGATATGCTTTTCATCCTATTTGGAACTTGTCATGTAGATGTACTTACATCTCAGAGTTAATGTTTACACTGGGACTCAAATCCAATACTGTTCACTTCAAACATTATCCCAATATTCACTTAACGAATGGTACTGGGTTCGAGACCTGAAGTGAATAACAATTCTAAGATGTAGGTATATTCAGCTGACAAGTCCCAAAATAGGGTGAAACGCGCATCTTAGATTCTACTGCTAACCACCATCCATCTTTGTTTATAATTAGGGCACATTTTCTGGTTAATTCTCTGATGGATGTTAAACAATCTATATAACCCCCTAACAATATGATCATTAATAATCGATTATTTTTATCAGAACCAGTTTATCCCATTGATGTCATTCAGTTACATTTAACAATAGTGAAGACAAATTTGAAAGAAAACATGTATTCTTATCTTAAATACAACACACTTCATTGAGTTAAAGGGATAGTACATGACAGTTTCTAGTTCATGATTTTGAAAAAGGATTGTTAATTGATATAACCATAATTTTATAGTTGAATTCATGATTCAATTAAAGGTAGACCATCATAGAAACTTTGAAAGCACTGAATGGCCGTTTCATCCTAATATAGAACTTCACCCTAGTGCGTTTCCACGATCCTGCATGTAAGACTTGCTCTAGAACACTGAACTTCTAAACCATTGAACTAGTGTTCAACGATGTTAATGTCTAACTTTAGTCGATCCATGATCATCAACAACTATTTACCTATTGTCTGAAGTGAATAACTATCTTCACTCGACACAGATTCAACTTCAGTGGTTTCGGTTTCTCACTAGAACTCCAAGAAATCTATCATAAAGCTAGTCACTAATGAGTACATGATTATTATCAAAATGAGAATTTATAGAGATTGTAATAAGTTTAATAGTTAAATTCATGAGTCGATCTAACCTAGACCAATCCATGTCGGGTGGAGACAGTTATCCACCTCAAACAATGGGTGAAATCTTATTCAAGATCATAGGACAATCAAAGTTAGATATTCACAGCAATATAACACAAGGAACTATGTTTCCATTTCTTATTTCTTTTGAACCAACTTTTGTGTTTAAACGAAAAACATAGTTTACCATTGAGTAAACTGTATCAGATGAAATTAATAAAACAAATGGTATTTGTAATCAAATCTAATTATCTTTTCTAAGTACGAATAACATCGTTGAATACTTGCTCATTGGTCTAGAGGTTAAGCGTTCTCACATGAAAGTGAAGGTCTTGGGTTCGAATCCCATGAGCAGCATCGTCGATGCACATTGCTGAGGAGTCCCACAGTAGGATAAAACAGTCATCCAATGCTTCCAGGTTTGCAATAATGGTCTAACGTCAATTGATTCATGATGTTAATCAAAAAATTAATAATCTCCACAACCCTATACTGATAATTATAAAAATCAAACTAGAAAAAGAGGGACTTACTTAATGATGATTGAACTGGTAAAGGAGAAGGTAATCTAGATATTTAAAAAAAGTAAGATTAAGAATTTAAACAGTACCGTATCTTCTTTTAGAACACTGATCATTGAATAATGTATCTGGCCATTAGTTTATAGAGATTAAGGTTTAATACATTTAGTTATAGTCTGATAACTGTGCTTTTATTATCTGGAACTAAAACCTGTTTCAAAATGATTAGGATCAGAAGGGTTTTTTGTGGAGATTGTAGTAATTTCAATAGTTAAGATCGTGAGTCAATTGAAGCTAGACCATGAGTAAGATTGTGGATGCATACGGCTGAGGAGTACCACAATAGGACGAAACGACCGTCCAGTGCTTCCAGATTTTCTGTGGTAGTGTAGCTTTAAATGACTCATGATCTCAACTATTGAAAATGATTGTCAATCAGAGATGAATGAATCCCAATTGACTGAATACACATTTCTTAGTATGTCATAAAGACTATGATAATATCCCTTGAATGAATCAGTCACTATGCATCAAATTATATGTAGATATTCTTTATAAGGATTTTGTCTAGAGTATAGATAGTTTAAATCATTAACGAACATCCTTGTCCCAATTTGTTTTGGAATACCTATGAAACAGTAGAATGTTGTTTTATTCTAATTCTCACCGTAGATAATCCTTCCATGTATAGAATTCAGTAATAAAACAACGTTCATTAGTATTATTATTAGAAAGGAGGTTTTTTGTGGAGATTGTAGTAATTTAATTGTTGAATTCATGATTTGATTGAAGATAGACTACCATGGAGAACCTGGGAGCACTGAATAGCTGTTTCGTCCTATTGTGAAACTCCTCGGCAGTGCACATCGATGATTCTACTTGCGCGATCCCAACCCAGGACCTAACGGTCTTGCGCACGAACGCTTAACCTCTAGACCACTGAGCCAGCACTCAACGGTGCTAATGTTTAACTTCAACCAATCCACGAAATTACGCCACCGTTCATCATTGTCTTCAGTTAATTACTATCTCACAACAGGCCCGGTTGAACTCCATTGGTCACGGCTTCGCTCTACAATTCCAGGAAATACCTTTGATCACTTTAAATTTAAAGTAAGGAATAAACTACTTATATGAATTAAAGGTAATGATTTGATATATTCTATTTTAAAATTTACGTAAAAGTGAAATCATCTCAAATGTCTTTGATGTTATCTTTGATTAACTATTCAAATAATTTGCATAGTCAAGATGAAAATATCTCACTATTTGATAGATACAATACGTATAATGTTTAGTCACTATCAACAATTGTTAAGAACTTATTACTTACACAAAAATTTCATCGTAGTTAACATACATTAATGATGGTGGTTGAAGGTAGTCGACAGGAAACCTTGGACCCGGGTTTCGTGCTACCTGGCACTCGTCAGCAAGGTGTACCTGTAATCTTGAGGGAATTGTTGCTCCTGGCGGATTCTATCCCCTGTCACTCAGGTTCACAGTCAGAGACGTTACCACTGAGCTATCCGGGCCGCGACTGGCCTCCGGTCGGACTGATCACTGGGTGGTGATCAATCAATCGTGAATGATGAAGTATATTTACAATCTCCAAGGTACTGACAACTGATCAATTTCGTAGTCATGAAAGTCAACATAGAGTAAGTTGTATATTAATTAACATTTACTAGAATTGAATGTTATTCATTTTCATAGTTTAGTTAAGAATCTGCAACATTACACATATAATCGATAATGGACAGTGAATTGATGTAAAGATGACTTTTTAAGTTATCTGTCAACTTGACTTATACTTTAAGAGTTCACCGTCGATACAACGAGAACGTCTGTAAAACTTTCCATCGATAAACAGTCATGTGGATATAGAGATCACGAGACCTACCATATACTATTTAACGACTAACGAAAAAAAAGGTTTAATTACTGTTCATAATACTATAAGCCCAAATAATTACTTCACAAAAGATATTGTCCAGCTTTACTCTGTTTGATATCTTAGTAAAAACTGCGAATCATACAGTAAATAGTTCATTTGTAGCATGTTCCTTCATTTTTATACCAATCACTCTTTGTTCTCATTCTCTTCTCTTTGATCTTTTGCCTCCAGACATTTCACTTTCGATTGATGATATATACTACTTATCTCTGTCGATATCAGTAGCATAGACCACAATACTATGAAATCATATTTAATACTTTGTATATTAAAATCTATTTCTTCAATTAATGTGTAATTATAATCTATCACTAAGAATATTAAATGTACCATAGGAAACAAACATTTTTTGTCAGTTAACACTTACTCACTTATCTATCTATGATACCCTACGCCAATAATAAATTAGGAAACATAATCCGGAGAGACTATGATTTTATGAACGAATCAATCAGGTATAAGGTAAATGGTCTCAGAGTTTGATGCAAAATTCATTCATCTATTTGGTTACATAGACTTTTAGCATCAATAGCTAACGTCAGTTTGTGATGAATACACTGATTCATAATCCTCATTTGGTCCTAGTTACCAAATGAACACTCTCAAAGTCAGTCTGACATTGTGCAAAGGTTGTTCATACATTATAATCTCACACATCACCCTAATAATAGGAATTTAGTGTATATTGCAGTATTTAATGCCGGTTCTTCTTTTTTTTCATTAGTAATAAAATTACGTAATCAAATCAAATAATTCCATCTGGAGTCCCTCCGAGGGCTATTGCCGGTCCCAAGCCCGGATAAAGGAGGAGCGTTGGGCATGGGGTTAGCGACCCCATCCCGTAGAAAACTAACTCGCTAAAAAAACGCTAACCAGAAAAAGTTATTCAATCATATCAAATAAAAGTATCGATTACATTTGTAAGTAGTATAGAACAATTCTATTGAAATATGAATTACCTTTCATAATTTGATGAAACATTTAATTGATTTGTAATCGTTTCTAATTGATCTTTTTCTTGTTCATAACCATAATGATAATTATCAGTATGTTTATTCATCATTTTTGTTTTGTTTTTTGTTTTTCAATATGAGTCTAATAAATTATGTCTTCAAATTTATACTACTGATAAAGATATTAATAAGTAGTAAGAAATGACAATGAATTCATTTCATGTTCTAATGGTTATAGAGAGTGTCAGTTCATAATATATACAGTTATGTATATATTTATGTATATATACGTATCTTAGTGGGCCAATCATTTTGCAGTTTGATTATTTTCCCTTTAATACCTCTCTCAATAGCTCGAAATATGGAGAGAAAATTTTATTTAGTTACCATAGAGGAATAAATTTGTAAGTTAACAAATAACTAACTAGTATGTAAACAAACGAAATAGAATTTGTATGATATTGAAGTGCTTTTATATAGATTGTGATGTCAGTTTAGTTGATAGGGTATAACTATTTCATTTGAATGGCTGTGATCAACTATATGAGATTTGTAACCATTTTAATAGGAGATAACAAAATTCTTTCTTGAATAGTAAATATGAAAACTTTAGAAATCTTTGTAGGACTTATTTTGTAAGTTATTGGATGAAAGTTTAATGATCAGATCCGTTAACGGGGGATATAGATTGAATTAAAGCATATTCCATGGAGAATTGTGTTGTTGTACGTTGATTGACTAATTCTTAACCAATCAGCGTTAGTTGATAGTTGAAGAACACTTTAGAATCACTTCATGTAAATAGTATAAAGATACTAACATTTCTGTGATTGTGCTTCTTATTTCCATCTATCCCTTGTTATTTGGAATATCATTTCTTTCCTGTTCAACCATGATCTGATTTGGTGATTTGTCAAGTGAATTGATGTCCAAGACTACTAACCAACAGGAATAGACAGGTTGTAATAAGAGAGAAATATAACAAGATACATTCATCAACAAGTACTGTTCTATCTTTGAAAATCATAATGATTTGTCTTATTATTCATGACGTTTATGTTTTATACTATTTGATAGTGCTATTTCACAAATATCGTTAGATGAAGAGTGATATCAATCCTCATTGTGAGATCCTTACATGGTTGATCATTGCAGTAATAAGATCATTGCTTAATAATGAATTATTTTCTAATTAGTGTTTTTTTACCGAGTTAGTTTTCTGTGGGATGAAATCGCTAACCCCATGTTCAACCCTCCTTTTTTATCCGGGTTTGAGACCGGCAGTAGCCCCAGAAGGAGCTCCAGGTGGAGCTTACAAAGATTTCTTCTGCTGAAATCCCATTTCTTTTGAAATAATGTGTTCATTTTAAGTTGCATATGAACGTCATGTAATCTAAAGGTTGTTAGCTTATGGGTTTTTTCTGTTTTTTCTAGCTTACAGATAATTGTATCCACATATTTTTGTATGCTCTATATTTGGAGTTTCGATATTAATCCTAATAACAACTAATTATCAGTAATGAGTTTTAGAGACTATTAAGTTTTTGATTGAGATCATGAACCGATTGGTGTTAGGACATCATTGAAAACCTGGAAGCAATGGACGGCCGTTTCATTCTATTGTATGACTCCTCAGTGTCAGTGCGCATCCACGACCTCGCCTCCTGCGAGATCCGAACCCAGGACCCACTTCTTTCGCGCGCGAGCACTTAACCACTAGACCACTGAGCCGGCATCCAACGGTGTTAATGTCTAAATTTAATAGGATGAAACAGCCGTCCTGTGCTTCCAGGTTCTCCATGATGGTCTAGCTTCAACTGACTCATGATCTTAACCATTGAAATTACTATAATATTCACAAAACCTATCTGATATCATACTAGAGTTGTTATGTTCTTGATTATTTGGCTCAGTGTGTACATAACTGTTATATCAACATCATTTCAGAAGCTTAATTCCGAGTTATTTGAATTCTAGAAGTTAAGCACCGAGAGTGAAAAGAAAGCTTTATTTGGGTAACCAGAATATAAAACAACATCTACACTTATATATATATTTGCCTCTTAGAATGAAAAACCACACTTTCAACGAATTGTATGTTTCGTTCTTTAAGAGAAGCAGCCAAAACAATTAAATATGGCAATAAAGAATCATGTATGTTGGTGAACAAATGAAAATTTTATTACAGTAAATGATCCTTCACTGATAAAACGTAATATCTTGATACTCAGAATTAAAATTTTACCACATACACTCACAATATTCAATTGAGTAGTACAAACCTTCTGAAAAATTGGAAAAACGCTTGACATTCAAGGCTAAGATCGATTCTTTGGTAGAAGTACGTCTATAATTTATTGTCCAAGGGTCCCTTATTCTCAGACTATATTTTATGTGTTCAAACTGCTAAAGTCCAAGAATCGACCTATTTGGTAGACGGATAGTGTTATTTTGGTCTTGACGCTTGCATAAATAAGTATTTAAGATTGAATACAATGCCTGAATATTCATTTAGTTCTTTTGTCTGGCTAAATATAAAGCAATTGATTACTCAGTCAGTCAGTTAGTAACAACGTAGAACTTTGTACGTACGTACATCAGTTCGAGTTGCCAAACCACATTAGTACAGAGAAGTGATTGTCGATTCGAATCCCGTAGTGGTAGAGATAGTAAAAGTATAAGCAGTAATCGGAAACATTAGGGTTCGAAGATGTTAGTCAAGGAGTATAATACAGTGAAACAAATTTGGAAAGAGGAAAAAGAAAGGGATGTGAGGAATTTAGAAGGTTAGAATTTGGTAGAACGCAAAGAGTGGATGCACCTGCACTATTGCAAACGATTTTCAACCATGTCATTCACGGTATCTAACCATCGGTTTCTATCATCTCGCGGACCCCAACCAGGTAGTCTACACCTATCAACATGGCTCAGTTCACTTGTGAGTGACTTCATGAACTTGTGCCATGTTTTGGTCTGGTCACCCCAAGCTTTCTTCCAACATACTCCTATACCATTGAGTATCGCACGTCGAGGCAGTCGGTCGTTGGACATACGTACACGTGTCCGAGCCACCTCAACTGATGAAGTTTCACTACTTAATCAATTGGTTTGCCATCCTTACCTAGTACCCGTTTTCTAACAACTGCGTTACTTACTCGATGGTCCCATGATATACGAGCAATGTTTCGAAGACACCTATGATCAAATACTAGTAACCTACAAATATCCTCTACTCTTACCAGCCACGTTTCACTGCCATAAAGTAGGATGGAACGAACTGCTACACAGTAAACACATTCTTTGGTTGATAGACGAATATCTTGCTTATGCGATAAATGATGCAAATTGGCAAAAGTTAGCCAAGCCTTCTGTATTCATGCTGAGATTTAGTCACACACCAGAACACAAGGGCTGATGAGACTCTCAAGATAAGTGAAGCAATCGACACACTCAACTACTTCACTCCCTATCATTAGTTCGGGTGTCGATGCAACCAAATCCTGAAGCAACATTGATTAATCAATTGCATCTAAATATATATTTCTCTTTTAAACTATGTTCATTCACTCATCCCTCCAGTTACGTGCTTGCTAACCGTATGATTTCAACTGTACGTTAGAATATAGTGGTATTGTTACTTCATTTCACATTCTACAGATTATACTCTGTTGGGGATTACAGTATTAAAGGTTGTCATTTCGATTGATATACGACATATAGCAAGAATCACAAAGATATCCAAAACAAGTCATCACGAATTCAGTGACTAAACGTAGACATTGATATCCAAGTCACCTATCATCAAGCAATATCGTACTTTAACTTTCAAGACAATAGATGTAGAAACGTTCAAAATTATGTAATGGCAACTAAAGTATTCAGTACACGTGGTTTCCAACTAGAATATAGTGGTTCTTTAGTGTTCTATATAGTAAATACCTGTAAATGCAAATCCGTTCAGTGGCTGTAAGCGTATATGTCAAGCCCTCCTATCTATGACACCAATGAGGCGTTAGGTGTGACATATATTGCATAACCAATCCAATACTCACTGTTTTTAAAACGAGTTAGTGTAATAGAAATGATTTAGTTTGACCATACGTATGTATTGAGGTACAGTTTCAGTTCCTTGGTAGAGGTCAATGAGAACAGCCGAACCGTTAGACTGCACTAGCATCAGTGAAGTTAGGAGATATTTTCAGACTATTATTTATCTATTTCAAGTAAATGCATCCTTCTCTAGGCAGCAGGGTTGCTGGAACCAGCAACCATTGGGCAAATGTTCGAAAGACTGGATAGTTGATGCACAAAAGTTGTAAAATCAAGATGTAGGGGGGTTTAGGGAAAGAAATTTAATGATTAAACAGGAAAACCGACAAGTGAGAATACAGATATAAAACATATAAACGGAGATGGTAAACTGTAAGAAATGCAGGACAGTTCAATAATAATAATAATAATAGGGACGATAATAAGTGGTGATTTGGGAGCTACGCACTATGCCGAGCACCAAGTGTTAATCACCTTCCTTTGTTATTTGATATAATTAACTGTGGTATTTGTACGCTCAATAAGATTTCCAAATAGAATACGTCCATTTGTGCTCATCCAGTTCTATCTGCATTAAATTCCACTATTGCAGTGTTTGTACGAACTAATGATCCCTTGGTCCTTTTGACTGACTGATTTCGAATTTCAAATAGAATATGTTCGTTAGTGCTCATCTAATACTTCCTGGTTGAGTTGAGTTATTTCTGAGATTCCTGATTTGTATAATAAATCAAATACCCCTGAGTATCACAACTATCTTGTAACTTCTTAGTTAACACATAAATTCCAGCACTTCCAATTATCATATAACCCTATACCCAACTCTTCTCCCTTGTTAGGGCTTGAGGTTGTCCACAAGCCTCAAAGAGCACCAGATTTATTGATCGATACTTTGACAAGTACTTTATTTCAGTGTACATATTTCTATTTTGTATTCTCAGCCTCCGATTTCAGTAATCGCAATCAGTATGTATTCCGAAACAACTACTATCTGTTATTTAAATTGAAGTTTATTTGTAAACAGTCTGTACATAACTATAACAGGTGGCAGTTTTAC